GTGTGTTTGAATCTAATTTTGAGGAGAATAGAAATTTTGGAATAGTGATTGATGTGAGAATGTGTGGTGGAAAAGTGATGAAAAGTTTTTGATTTGTGTGTAATATTATTTTATTTGAAAAATGTGTGGTTGAAATAAAGAATGAGAATGAGAATGGAAATGAGAATGAGAAATTAATTGGTGCCAAACGGGGGCACAATATTTGAATGATCTGTCAATCGTTTTCTCTAAGGTATTTGAACTCTTAGTTTAAGAATTTAGCCTTTTAAAAAAAAACTCACATCGAGCCGTTTTTTTTTTATACTTTATCATGAATAGCTATGTCAACAAGTTGAGCCGAAATTCAAAGCTTGGGTTCGACTCGAGCAAAATATGTCTGAACTTTTTTGGCCCGAACCGAGCAAAAGCTCGACCAAAAATTTTAGGCTCAACCCGAGCTTTCGGCTCGGACCTTTACGAGCAGAGTCGGCTAGATTTTATTTTTTTTAATTTTTTTTCTTGAGCTATGATAGTTGCCCGTGTTTGCAAGCAGCTAAATTAAAAATCTAAAAGATGGGCCGGCTCGGGCTCGAGCCGATGCCCCAAAATGGGGTTTGGCCCGAGCTAAGAGCCGGCCCGACTCGGACAATTTTGGGGCATCAGCTCGAACTCGGCCCGGCCCGACTCGGACATTTTTTGGATCGAGTCCAAGTCGACGAGTTTTTTGGCCATCCATAGTCATGAAGTTATCAACTAATTTAGTCACGGCTTATGTTTCTGTTTTATAAATATTTTAGGTGGACTATTTTAGACTTTATAGGTCAACTGAGTTAGTTAAATAAAAACTACCAAACACCTTTTCCCTTCTTCGCTTCTTAGGCTACTAAACTGTCTTCTTGTTTAAAATTAGTTAATTTCTTATTAGTCCCAAAATAAATTAATATTGCAGCATTGCGCACTTGGAATATAATAAATGTATCGAGTCCAAATTTATTTATCTACGTTTCTCCCACTTACACGAATTTTCTATTAAAAATCAGAAAATTGCACACTTACAAAAGAAGAAGAAGAAAATTCAGTTATTAATCCCTGAATCTTCTTGAATAGAGAGTTGGTTCGAAACATTAATGATAACTGCCTCCTTACTCCTTAGGCAACCAGGATGAAGACGGGAAAATGGTTCCTTCTTGAATTCCTTGAACTCGTCTCGAACATTTTTATTTTATTTTTACGTTTTTAAATTTAAAAATAAAATATGCATTTAAATGAATGGTTATATTTTAATTCTCACCTGCCTCTCAAAATTTTCTGATGTAGCGGGGATTGGAAGGGCCACCCTGGATAGTTTCACCCTGCCCGATTGTCATCCCCTAAATGTGGCCATGACGATTGATTTCAAAAGTTTTTAGGCACCTAAGCAAATGTAACTTATAAAATTGAACTTGAAAGGAACCCATTATGCAACTATAACTAATAGTTGGTGACCAATATTGCAATTTTTTTTATCCCGTGACTACTTTTTGCCTTTAAAACTTGTATATTAGTTAATACAATCAAACACAATAAAAAATTTCAATTACACGCCAAAGTCGTCCAAAGTCTTTAAGAGAATGAAATTATAAAAATTTCTGAAAAGAGTCTCTTTCGGTCAACCTAAAATATAGTATACAAATACATTAATAGAGAGAGAGCTTGGGGAATCGACAAGTGGATCCAATGATGAGTTACTATACCGCCACTTTCCCCTTCCATCCTCTGTTTTTAACGCTCAAATCAATACGTACATACATTCACCATATATACAGGGTATGTGTATATCATACACCCACAAAATAACTTTAAAAATGTTGAATTTGAGAATTGGGAGTTGCTATCCAAAGACATATGTTGGAGTGAATGCAGGTCTAGCTTGTGTTGATGGAGTGATTGCTCTTCTTGCTTTCTTTCAGGCAAGTTTCATTTTTTCAAGTCTGCCTTTTGATTATAAGTTGTGGATTAATTGCTGCATTACTTATTTGCATAAGTTGCTTATTTTAGGGATGTACTTATGATCAATCTTGTTGCTTTTTTCTGGGGTTTTATTGTTTTTAATCATCTTCATTTCTGTGAAGATGTATATTGTCTATGATCGTTTTAAAAATACTTGAAATTTGAAAATTCTGGGTTTTTGTGTTTCGATTGATCTTTCTATTTTTCTTGTTATGTTCTAGTTTTTGCTGCTGAGGGGAAGTTTTGATTTTTTTTTTCTATTCAATTTCAGATTGCTTGCACAAATATTAAAAAATGATAATGGATTTGAATTGTGAATGCTATTGATTTACAATGTTCATGAATGAAGCGGCCTATCTCTGTCTGTGATTATACTCGACTTATTTTCTGATCATTTTTAGTTTAATTTCTGCCTTTTGATCTTTTGATGATGTTCATGGCATGAATTTTGAGCAAACAGAGAGGCGCTGATTCGTTAGGTGACTGAATATGGTTCGTTTTGCATGATGCTGTTGTTGTTTGGAAAAATTCGTGACTCATTATCCTACTGATGCTGATTAGTGAAATAGCTGGCAGGACACCTAGGGAGACATTATAATAGCTGTATTTGTCACATAGTTACTTACTGAACGAGGCTGATTCACAAATCATGCCAAAATTGCATCCACGTTAGGCAGTGACCGTCGTGAGTATCAATGTAGCTGCTCAAAATACACGTGTACGGTGACACTAATTTTGCATCTTGGTGTCATTATTATTGCCTCAGGGATTCCACGCGAGATTATTGGCGTGATTCATGATTTTCAACGGTAACACTTGGGAAATAAATATATTTTGGTTAGGCATTTGTATGATTGGAATAAGATGACTTTGGTTTTTAGATTAATTGCCAAATACTTAATACAAATATTTTCCATTTTGCAAACTCGAACGATATAAAAGTACTTTAAAATCCTTATCCAAAATGTTGTAGATCAAGGCATAGTTTACCATTGATTGTTACTTAATCATACAAATTTCTATATTAATGATGACATTGTATTTCATTTTTAGTGTAGGTAAAGGGCTTTTGTTCTGAATAATGAGTAATGCTATTTAGAATTAGTGGTATTATAGTGATATGTCCGAATAAATGGTTCCCATATCCCACATTTAATTTGACCTATCATTTATGAACGTTTTATTTGCTCCTTATCCCACGCGCTCCATGCATAGCTGTTATCTGAAGCATTTCTCAGATGCATATGATACACGCGTGTAACACATTCCCAAAGTAAATAGTCCGAATGAGGTGAACGGGATATCTAGAAAAGATAACTTTTATCTTTTGACGACTCGTTTAACTGTAATAAATATTTTAATATGCAATTTCTGTACAAAGCAAATTAAGTGGAATTAATATCGGACGTTGCATAACAAAGTTGTAACGTTGTTGAATATAATAAGAACATTAAGAAAAGTGATGATCTGAGTAGAACCATCAGAAGAGAATGACTGGTGGACCAACCAAATTTAACATAACTACACGTGATTAGCAATAAATTTTGATTTCACAGGACCTTTCAACTGGACAAATGGAGTGGGGGGGGGAATATATAGCCGACTACCGACCCCTGGTTTTAAAATGTGAACATGACTGAGAATTTATTTCTTTATATTCCTTTGATCAATTAATAGAGAGTAGGCTTTAGCATCCTTGTTCCTTATTGTTTTTCCTTCTTTTGATGTACCAGTTGATGAGGATCCATGCAAGGAATTCAAATTGGACCCGTCAAAAAGTAAGCAATTCTTACGTCTGTGTATTTCTTTTCCAATTGTTTGCTTCTTTACGATGACATACAAATTGTATTCACAACAGAGACACTGTAAGTTTTATAGAAGATTGTCAATGACTTATTATATATTTATGGTTCATATCGTATTAGACATGAAATCTACATATATTTTATACTAAAATGTTAATCTGATGGAATTGTTTTTTTAATCGTAGGTATTTCATCTAGTGATTGGATCCTCTAATTTGGGTGAGACTTTATTAACATTATTCTCCGTTTTATGAGACCTTCAACTGATGCATCATTGATATATGATACAAATCTCCACTTGCTCTCAAATAGATTTTGCACACATTGCTTTTCCTGAAAAAAAATTGATAAGCCAAATCGTTATATAATGCTGGCACAAGCAGCCCTTGATCATAAACTTCGATCTTCTAGCAATGATAATTTTGGCTATGATAATTTCTTACCGGCAGGGTATTCCATTTATTTTGTGTTGACTCTTTTGGCTGCTTGTAAGAGTTGGCTTTGCTGGTCGTACACCTGTGGTTTCATTAGTATGGGTATGTAAATTATCCTTTACGTTTTTTCAGAAAATTTAGCAAATTTTTAGACGTACTTAATTGTACAAGGGATGCTTACTCCGGAAGATATTACTTTTGCAGCTTTCCCGAAAATACTGTTTGTTTCAGCTTTTCTTCTACTCTTGTCATTCTGGTAAGCCCTCTTTTTATTACTTAGAGAATCATGGTCATCTTAATATGTGTATGTTGATAAGTTTGAATGGACAGTTGGACACTATACTTTCTTGAGTAATTCTACAAACTATACTATTGGTCTTAAATATAATATCAACAGTCAAGAAATGGCGAGAAATATTTAGTATAATTTCACTAAGTAAAAGACAAACTTCAATTGGAACGGTCTGCAGGGTTGATATTTTCCATCACTCAGATGAGGACGACGAGGATGAAGGATTGAGTCCCCAAGAGGCCTTGCTGGAAAAGACAAGTAAATTTGATTCAATTGCCAATTGTCTCGGAGAATGGTGCTCCTTTAGGACGACACACATAGGAAGATGGCAAAAAGTCGTGATTCTGGTATTGGAGCAGTAAAACTTTTTCTACATTTTGCTTTATTCTTTTGACACAACAAAGTAACTTTGTTTTGTTTATATCCATATTTTAGTTTATCTTACATTGAAATTTTCTCCAGGTTACCTTGTTAACTTTCGCAATAACAATAGTTTCTGCTGTGTTAATATGGATTGAGATGGGAAAAAGTTCTATTGATTCCCAAGTTGTGGCTCAGGTATGTAGGCATGACCAAGAAATAGAAGTCCAGGAAATATGTAATGATACAGTTTGTTCATGTCATCATGTGTTGCATACTTAATTTGTCTGTATTTCATTAAACGGTAGTACCCTTTTATCTGTTACGAAAATATCCTTTTTTTTTATCAAGAAAACTCAATTTTCTAGTGTAACTCTCTCACTCTTACTCTCCGCCTGTGTGCACGTGCACTTGATTAATTATTTATGAGGGGGCAAATTATGATTACTTTGCAGGTATACGTAGATCTCTTAGCAATAGCTGTTGTTTTCCTAGGAGGAGCATTGGCTTGCTATGGTGAGCATTCTGTGATGTTTTACTCCTAATTTATGAAAATTAACAGCTATAGGATCCAATATCTATACATCTTTTACAATGAAGCCAATTCGTAGTGAATTAATCTGTTTCATCAAATATGTTATGTTCTCTTCAACTGATCCATTTCTATTTGCTTTTCATCAATCAAATATCGTATTCAGGGCTTCTACTCTTCAAGAAAATGAGAAAAGTGAGATCCGACCGGGCTACGTGTGAAAAGTGGAAGGTAGTTAATCAATATTTATACTCTGTATAGCTCTCTTCTAGTTATTTTTATCTGTTTACATTTTTCTATTACAAGTTGCACTATAGTTTCTCAATTTCCTTCTCTGAGGATAAATTAATGGAAATAGTTTGTTCCTTTACTTCATTATATGCGTTCACTTTTTACTAATGTGTCACTGTTGCACGTAGTCTCTTTATTTCTTTCTGAAAATGATTGCTATGCAGTTTGCAGGTTTGGCCGTGGTATCCATTGTTTCTTTTACATCAAGTGCTTATGCTGCCATAGCTACAAATATACCTGTAAGTTCTTACTGTTCTGTAGCATGTATTCAATTCCCGATATTGGAAAATGCTTCCAATTTGAACATTCTCAATGACTCAATGTTGCAGCTGATTTATCACTGGCGTCAACAAGACATAGATGGTGTTTATACGCCGCTTTTATTGGTTCTGTATTATCTTATAGGTAATTGCTTCAACTCTTCGTTCTGAAATTATTAGTTAGGCTGGTACGTTCGAACTTTGTAGACTGTAATTTATATGGTCATGTATTATAAGTACAATTCTAGATGAATAAAAAGCATGTCAAGTATGTCATTAGGGTTATGAAATTTTGTCTAAGAGCTAAATTGTTAATGGGACGCTATCTTCTGATATGGGACATTTTTTTCTTGATTTAATGCGTTTCTACACAAAATTTCCAGGTTCTTCAGTGCCCTCGGCCTTTGTACTATGTGGGATGAGCGAACTCCCACCCTCGGTTAAAACTGATAGACAAGACGAATGGTTAACAATAGCTTTCATCAGTGATGATGATTCGGTAGCAGCAGATCCGCAGCCCTCGAACGCTGCTGGTAGCATGCAGATTCAGGTTGACGAGCTTTCCTGCGAGTTTTATAGTTGTTTGACCGTGATATTTCTTTGCCAATCTCTCTACCTAACATGCCATACAATTTCACGTCACGGCATGTCCCAATAAAAAAAGAAAGAGCTTTGCTTGGTTGGCCTTATGAATGCCTCTTTCTTTTTCTGTCTTTATACTATTCTCATATTCTAATCGATTTCACCATTTATTTATTTCAAAGTTATAGCGCATGTTTTTCTAACAATTATAATCAATTTCATGAATGCAGGAATCAACAGCAAGCCCTACATGAAATGCAAACTGTGAATTTTGTGGTACAAGAAGCTGGGAATGCAATGGCACTTGGGAGTGCATAAAATATTGACAGCTTAGTCTCCTATAAATAGTAAAAAATAAAAGGAAAAAAAATCATAGTAAAACTCTCTTGTTAATGGATGCTTCCTTTTGTTAATATATATGCTTATAATGAGAGACCTATTAGTATTCAACCTTTTGACATTTCGTTAATTCATTTTCAAACAACTCTAATTAATCTAACAAATTTTCATTTCAAGTTATCCCATTTTTTTTTAATTAAGCACAATTTTCATTCTTTTGTCTTATTTTTTTTGATTTTTTTAATTTTTTTATTATTATTTGAAATAGAATCTGTTTTCAAAACAGATTACTGAATTTTCAAATGAATTTCTAATTCAAGATAAGATCACAAATTATTCAATTTCCAGTCAAAGCTCAGACTTATATAAATGCCGTACATTCTTGAAATTTACGCGTACTTTCTTTGTTACAAAATGGCAAACTTTTGTGTCGTTATCTCTACAATAATGGTAGCTTTGTTTCTCACCTCCAATGACGCCCTCCCGACGGCCGATATGAACGATACGCCTTATGCTTTAACGCGTAATTATACGTATGTTTGTGATCCTTCGAGGTTTAATGACCTCGGAATGGACATGAGTTCATTTGCATATTGCGATTCGTCTCTTCCTTATGGTACTAGGGTGAAGGATTTAATAGACAGAATGACTTTGGAAGAAAAAGTGCAGCAGATTGGAGACACTGCTACTGGGGTTCCTAGGATTGGGCTGCCTAAATATGAGTGGTGGTCGGAGGCATTGCACGGTGTATCGAACGTAGGCCAATGGAACAGTAAGGCCTCGTTCTTCGATGATGAAATCCCTGGTGCGACAAGTTTCCCAACTCCCATTTGCACCGTTGCATCATTTAACCAGTCGATGTGGAAAATGATCGGACAGGTAACTCTTGATCGTCTAGCTTGGCCCTTGAAAATTCTTTGTTGTAGATTTCTCCAGATTTTTTCTTACGAAGTTTTGTTATTGGATATAATGCAGGCTGTTTCGACAGAAGCAAGAGCAATGTATAATTTAGGACATGCTGGACTGACATTTTGGAGTCCAAACATCAATGTAGTACGGGATCCTCGATGGGGACGAGCCCTCGAGACACCGGGAGAAGATCCTTATGTTGTTGGAACATATGCCTCTAGCTATGTTAGAGGATTGCAGGATGTTGATGGGACAGAGAATACAACTGACCTTAATTCTAGGCCTCTTAAGGTTGCTGCCTGTTGCAAACATTATGCAGCTTATGATGTCGATGCTTGGCTTGGAATTGAGCGTTACAATTTTGACGCACAGGTAAACATGCATCTGGAAGACCGAAGACCTTTATCGACTTTTACAAGTTCCATTATTACTTATTTTTTATCTGTAATTTGCTTATTTTAAGGTAACTGAGCAAGACATGGCCGAGACTTTTGTTAAGCCCTTTGCAATGTGTGTTAAACAAGGTGATGTATCCAGCGTCATGTGTTCATACAACAAGATTAATGGTATTCCTGTCTGTGCTGATCGAAGGCTTTTAAAAGATGTCATTAGGGGACAATGGGATCTTCACGGGTAATGAACATCCAAACGCTCTAATTTGCTAGTTCTCAAGTGCAAAACGAAAAAATTTGTTCGTTTTTATGTTTCAGATACATAGTTTCCGACTGTGATTCAATCGAAGTGATAATACATCATCACCAATGGCTCAACGACTCACCGGAAAGTGCCGTTTCACAAGCCCTTAAAGCAGATTAATTTGTCCCACACTACTGAACAAAACAAGACTGACAGTCGAGCTTTGTCTTTCTTAACATTGTCAAGTGCCGTCTAATCCATCTTACCAAATGTGCAATATCATTTTCTTTTTACTAATTCAAGATTGGATTTGGATTGCGGGAATTACTACACGAACTTTGCTAACAAGGCAGTAGTTCAAGGGAAAATCAAAGAGGGAGATATTGATAGTGCCCTTCAAAACCTCTATGTTGTGCTTATGAGGCTTGGATATTTTGATGGGAGCCCTCAGTATGAAACACTTACCAAAGATGACATATGCACTGATGAACACATCGAATTAGCAACTGAAGCAGCAAGAGAAGGAATCGTCCTTCTTGAACGACGACAACATTTTACCTTTGATCTCAGACAATGTAAAAACCATTGCAGTTATTGGTCCACATGCTAATGCTACTGATGCGATGATCGGGAATTACGCAGGTATAGTATGGATCTAGTTGTCAAAATGCATGTAATTCTGATCACGAGAGTTTATTTTTTCGTTAAATTTTGTAGGTATACCTTGCAAGTATACAACTCCTTTAGATGGATTCTCAGCCTCTGGTAATGTACAATATGAAATGGGGTGTGACAGTGTAGCTTGCAACAATGACAGCTTAATATTACCTGCAACACAAGCAGCAAAACAGGCTGATGCAACTATTGTCGTTGTGGGATTGGATTTAAGTTGTGAGGCTGAGAGTCTGGATTGAGCGGATTTGCTTCTCCCGGGATTTCGAACTCAGTTAATCAATCAAGTCGCATCAGAGTCTAAAAATCCAGTAATTCTTGTAGTAATGTCAGCAGGTGGTGTTGATATTTCTTTTGCCAAAAATAATTCTAACATCAAAGGAATCCTCTGGGCAGGATATCCCAGAGAGGAAGGTGGACATGCGATCGCAGATGTTGTATTCGGGACACACAACCCCGGTAGGCAAATTCGACTCTACTGATGTTAATTTAGTACAATCTGCCAATGTTCTAAATTCTATACTTGAGACAATCTATGTGACATGTTTGTTTTGTTAAATCCTAGGTGGGAAATTACCTCTAACGTGGCATGAAAACAGTTACGTCGATATGCTACCTATGACCTCTATGCAATTGAGGCCACTCGATATCATGGGATACCCGGGTCGAACATACAGATTTTTCAACGACTCCATAGTGTATCCATTTGGATATGGCCTAAGCTACACTAATTTCACCTACAAAATTTCATCCTCCGAACAATCGTTGAGCATTCAATTGAACAAGTTCCAGCACTGTCGGGACCTTAACTACACCGATGGCTCGTTTAAGCCCCCATGTCCTGCAGTACTCATCGATGACTTACAACAATGTGATGACCAGAACGTCAAGTTTGAGGTCGAGGTACAGAATATCGGCCAAAAAGACGGCCGAGAGACTGTGATCCTGTATTATTTACCCCCTGCTGGAATTCAAGGGGCTCCTATAAAGCAAGTCATTGCTTTTGATAAAGTGTTTTTGGCTGCAGGAGAAAGCCAAAAGGTTCCATTTAAGTTAAATGCATGCAAGAGTTTGGGAGTCGTTAGTTTTAATGGTTACACTCTTTTACCAGCTGGGAGTGGTACCATTGTAATTGGAGATGACTTATTATCATTTCCAATTAGTGTTAATTTTCAACAATAATTCTTATTTATTTTAGTAGGGGTAAAAAAAAAATACCATTGTAGGTATTTGATGATGAATAAGTAGTTAGAAATTAGGTTAGCGTTTAAGTTCAGTTTTTTATGTGATTTATTTAGTGGTTTGAGGATGTAATTTGTAGTGAATAATGAAGTGAATTATTGTTGAAGTTAAATCATTGTTGTTGTTGATTTTATAATACTGAATTTAAGGTCACGTCACGTGTGACAAATCTTTCGATAAAAGTTTTTGTAGAAGGTATGGCCCTCCATTATGAGCTTACAAAGCGCACAACTCTTCGTGCACTCACTTTTCAGGGACAAAGTTTGTGGCATAGGCCCAAACATTGTTGTTAACAGGATCTGCGAGGTGATCAGCAAGGTTCTCCAATGGTCCCTTTCTAGTTGCAATAGCCTGAACAAAGAATCCAAACATGGAGAACATAGCCAATCTTCCATTCTTAATTTCTTTCACTTTAAGTTCAGCGAAAGCCTCTGGATCATCAGCAAGTCCCAATGAGTCGAAGTTTCCACCGGGGTAAAGTGGGTCGACTACCTCACCGAGTGGCCCTCCAACCACATGGTAGCCCTCAACAGCTCCCATCAAGATAACTTGGCAAGCCCAGATAGCCAAAATGCTCTGAGCATGTATCAAGCTTGGGTTACCCAAATAGTCGAGCCCACCTTCGCTAAAGATCTAGGATTCGGCCTTAAACCACATGGCCTAGCCAAATTTGACACCATTGCCAGCCGAGAGCTCGGGGAAGACACATCCAAGAGCTCGAAGCATGGCCCACCTACAGCGGATCACCTTAAGCTCACAGTTCTTAGAGGAAGTTTTTGGATCTGCTGAGAGCTCAGCAGTATCCCAACTGTAGTCACCTAAGAACTCGCCGGTCAAGTAGCTCGGGGGCTCACCGAAGAATGGTCCTAACTATTTAAAATGATCGGGACCGCACCATGGGCTACCAGGCGAAACTGGCTTGGTAACAGTTTTTCTCATCGAGATTCTTCCATTGCCTGTGATCTCGGAGGCAGACGATGAGAGCTTCACCATCTTTTCGGCGAAAGACGAAGAAGAAAGAGCAATTGTAGAGGTTGCCATTGTGAAATTAAACAATAATACTGCACAATGTTTAACAAAGAGTTTCAGATTTTTTGTGACTTGATCAACATAGTTAACTCATACAGGTGGAGCCGGACAAAACTCTCAAACAGAACTGATAGAACCGGACTTGAACCAAACTGAATCAAACCAAGTGGTTCTTCTCAAGTTAAATATTCGAACGGGTATATGAATCGAGAAACGACGAATTCAATTCGGTTCTAAATCGAGAACCGAATCTCCTTAATTTTTTTAATCTTAAATAAGATAAATTATTTTATTATTTTCTAAATAAATTTACTAACTAATTAATTTAACCCAAATTCAAAATATGATTTACTGTTTCTAATTTTCATTTAAGCCCAACTTAATCAAATTGACCTAAATTTTACCCAAATCTCTTATTCTACCAAAGTATCGTTTTTGCTGTTCTATTATTGTAAGCTCGTTATCTTACTCTTCATGTGATTTTAACAGTCAAATTTATGAAGAACTTAACAAAGAGAGTTGCAAAAGATATCATGGGATTAGACTACACTATTTTGTGAGAACTAAGATTGAACATGCTATAGTTGAATTAATGTAACGTTGTTGTATGATAAGTGTACTTTATATACTTATTCAGGATCTAAAATGTTGATATTTGTTAGTTTTTTTGACAAAATATATCTTAAATTGTTATATTTTATGTTATATAAGTAACACTTAATGGTTGAACGAAGAATTGGAAGGAACAAAGGAAAAAATGCGAAGTCCAAAATTTGAAGACCAAATTGCAAATATTCAATTGTTGATTCAGACCACAAGACGATACTTTGAAGATTGTTAAAAGATAATTGGATGGAAATAGAACTCAAAAAGGAATGGAATATGATCAAAATATTATTAAAATTAATTTCCAATCACACAAGTTACATTCTGGATTTTTAGCTGAAAATTGAGACCTATTTTTGGTATAGTAAACGTCTGAATTGGAAACATTATATTCTATAAAAGTTGTAGCAATTTGAGTCATCTTTCCAACGCAGGTTTAATCACCTCAATCAAATATTGGGAGAGAAAATTATGACCAAAATACTGATTGTTATGCAGAGACAAAAAAATCCGCAAGCGAATACAAATTTTCTTATTCGATTGGAACTATTTTGAAAACCAATTTGAAGTAATTTTCAATCAATTTTTTACTTCGACAAATATCTAATAGCAGAATACATATTAGAGACCTCTCATATACTCTAATATTCATCAATTATTATCATCAAAAAGGAAATTTCACAATTTTTGTGAGAGAATTGAAGGAGACTTGCAAGAATTCAATCAAGTGAATATTCAAACTTGATTTTTGGGTAAAGAAGAGAAGGCGCAAGTGAAAGTTCATTAAGAAACCATTGAGAAGATTCAAGATTTCAAGATTCATCTTCATCTACTCAATTTATAAAAAATTCGGGTTATGTCTTTCCACTTAAATATGATTTCTTGTAATTTCAGTATGTTAGATTAATTTTATATATTGTTAGGATGATGCGGGGCCAGACAGGCCCTAAATAAGATAAATTATTTTATTATTTTCTAAATAAATTTGCTAACTAATTAATTTAACCCAAATTCAAAATATGATTTACTGTTTCTAATTTTCATTCAAGCCCAACTTAATCAAATTGACCTAAATTTTACCCAAATCTCTTATTCTACTAAAGTATCGTTTTTGCTGTTCTATTATTGTAAGCTCGTTATCTTACTCTTCATGTGATTTTAACAGTCAAATTTATGAAGAACTTAACAAAGAGAGTAGCAAAAGATATCATGGGATTAGACTACACTATTTTGTGAGAACTAAGATTGAACATGCTATAGTTGAATTAATGTAGCGTTGTTGTATGATAAGTGTACTTTATATACTTATTCAGGATCTAAAATGTTGATATTTGTTAGTTTTTTTGACAAAATATATCTTAAATTGTTATATTTTATGTTATATAAGTAACACTTAATGGTTGAACGAAGAATTGGAAGGAACAAAGGAAAAAATGCGAAGTCCAAAATTTGAGGACCAAATTGCAAATATTCAATTGTTGATTCAGACCACAAGACGATACTTTGAAGATTGTTAGAAGACAATTGGATGGAAATAGAACTCAAAAAGAAATGGAATATGATCAAAATATTATTAAAATTAATTTCCAATCACACAAGTTACATTCTGGATTTTTAGCTAAAAATTGAGACCTATTTTTGGTATAGTAAACGTCTGAATTTGAAACATTATATTCTATAAAAGTTGTAGCAATTTGAGTCATCTTTCCAACGCAGGTTTAATCACCTCAATCAAATATTGTGAGAGAAAATTATGACCAAAATACTGATTGTTATGCATAGACAAAAAAATCCGCACGCGAATACAACTTTTCTTATTCGATTGGAACTATTTTGAAAACCAATTTGAAGTAATTTTCAATCAATTTTTTACTTCAACAAATATCTAATAGCAGAATACATATTAGAGACCTCTCATATACTCTAATATTCATCAATTATTATCATCAAAAAGGAAACTTCACAATTTTTGTGAGAGAATTGAAGGAGACTTGCAAGAATTCAATCAAATGAATATTCAAACTTGATTTTTGGGTAAAGAAGAGAAGGCGCAAGTGAAAGTTCATCAAGAAACCATTGAGAAGATTCAAGATTTCAAGATTCATCTTCATCTACTCAATTTATAAAAAATTCGGGTTTATGTCTTTCCACTTAAATATGATTTCTTGTAATTTCAGTATGTTAGATTAATTTTATATATTGTTAGGATGAGATGAACTCTTGCTATGATATTTTTAGTTTTTAATTAATTATTTTGATTTTAATTTTGTTTGGCTTGATTTGTGGATTTTATTATTGTTTTTATTTCAATTATTTGATCTCCAATTGAATTGTTAGTGTATTTTATTTTTATCGAGAGAGACAATAGGGTTTAAGCACAATATAATAAACATTGTAAGTGTTCGATAGAGTATAGGGATATACATCTATAATTTATATGGTTTCAATAGATGTTCTAGCATTTGTTAAGCATGTTTGCATCTTTCATCGAGAGATAGAAGAGTCACATGAAGAGAATATATTTGATAGCTATCGAGAAAGGTTTTCAATTAAATAAGGATCGTTGACCAACATGAATGATTTCAAATTGTCACTTTAATTGGTAGACTAAGAATGGAATTATAAGGGGATTCGAAATTTTAACAATGTTTCTTATATATTTGAAAAGTACATTTACTTACTTTCACTATCTTAATTGATAATTTAGGGATTAGTCTAGAAAAATCACAAAATTTGTTTGTTATTCGATTAAAGTTGCAATTAATTTTAACTCGATCAAACACATAACTCTCGTGGGTTCGACACTTTATTCATCACTTTATTACTGGACAACGATCTCATGCACTTGCGAGTTTTCAAATGATCATTGTAAATATATATAAAAATAATTAATTATTGTACGAAACTCGGGAATTGAATGGAACCGAACCCGAACGGTTCCACAATTCAAGTTGGACTCGATGATTTCATTCACTAAATACTTAAAAATTCGAGTTCGGTTCGATTTTAAAGAGAAACGAATTGGGCCATGTCCAACCCTACAAACATGTATTTATATGAATTGGGCTGCTAGCTAGGCCTCTTATCTTTCAGTATTATAATATGTAAATCCATTGACAGATAACATTCGGACAGACCCACGTTGCATGTCCTTTCGGAAAGGTCTAACACCCCTAAACAAATTTTTGGCTTACATTATGTTGCAAAAGTCTCAGGCAATGTGTACGTACTTTCTCGAACCAGTGGGAGATAGCCATGTGTTCTATTGGATATTGCAATATCTTCTTGAAAATATGTTTATATTATACAAGTGGATTATTCATGTCGTTTTTTATTCATAGTAGTGAACATGTTGTATTAACTTTTGCATAATGAATTTAACAAACTAAGTTGTTTAAGTTTAATGTGTTTGTCCAGTAAATTAGTTGAAGAAAGTCCTGAAGCCTTCCCGCACAAGCGCGGGAATAGGAACACTTCCGTGTACATTTTTGACATTTTTTAAAACTAAACCTTATGATAGATTTTATCAGAAGAATCCAATATAGAAAATGCAGTGATTAGTCCCCAAAAACTGATGGACGACAGATTGCCAAATGGATTCAGAAGTAACAAAATTAGAATCTTGAAACTCCAATTAAAACATAGATATAGATTTCTTCAAGATAAGCAAAGCCACTACTTTTGCCTATAAAAATCTGTCACCGTCCTTTCACATTCATCACCAGCAAACTTGTAAATCAAAACCTTTCCCTTCAGCATTAATTTCTAGCCATGGCCGCCTCCACAATGGCTCTTTCTTCTCCATCATTCGCCGGAAAGGCAGTGAAGCTCTCACCTTCTGCCTCCGAGATCACAGGCAACGGAAGAATCTCGATGAGAAAAAGTGTTGCCAAGACAGTTTCGTCTGGTAGCCCATGGTACGGTCCCGACCGTGTTAAATACTTGGGACCATTCTCCGGTGAGCCCCCGAGCTACTTGACCGGTGAGTTCCCAGGCGACTACGGTTGGGATACTGCTGGGCTCTCAGCAGATCCAGAAACTTTCGCTAAGAACCGTGAGCTTGAGGTGATCCACTGTAGGTGGGCCATGCTTGGAGCTCTTGGGTGCGTCTTCCCCGAGCTCTTGGCTCGCAATGGTGTCAAATTTGGCGAGGCCGTGTGGTTCAAGGCCGGATCCCAGATCTTTAGCGAAGGTGGGCTCGACTATTTGGGTAACCCAAGCTTGATACATGCTCAGAGCATCTTGGCTATCTGGGCTTGCCAAGTTATCTTGATGGGAGCTGTTGAGGGCTACCGTGTAGCTGGAGGGCCACTCGGTGAGGTAGTCGACCCACTTTACCCCGGTGGAAGCTTCGACCCATTGGGACTTGCTGATGATCCAGAGGCTTTCGCTGAACTTAAGGTGAAAGAAATTAAGAATGGAAGATTGGCTATGTTCTCCATGTTTGGATTCTTTGTTCAGGCTATTGTAACTGGAAAGGGACCATTGGAGAACCTTGCTGATCACCTCGCAGACCCTGTTAACAACAATGCTTGGGCCTATGCCACAAACTTTGTCCCCGGAAAGTGAGTTTGAGAAAATGAGTGTTCTGAATTCAGATTGCTTGATGTTTATGTAAAATTATTGCGAGTTAATGGAATACAATGTGAATTTTGCGTGAATTGGGTTTTTTTCAACAAATTTTGTGGCTGAATTGATAGACTGACTGTTTATCAATTTTCTTGTTGATGACGATGACTTCCTAACAAGAGCTATCAACCCCAATTCCCTTCCCTTCGGCTACTAGTAAATGAAGGAAATGGTGTATGGAATGTACGCTTTGATGTGAAAATATTTGGAATCGCCATGCTTATAATACAATTAGGTACTACAAACAAATAATTACACGATGAATTTCTCATTGCTAAAGTTTTCTACAAGAGATGCTTCTACTACTTCATTGACAAGTTCACCGGCTTTTCTGGTCTTGTAATTGTCAAGATATTGCTGATAAATATATGATGCAAATCCCCAAGCTGCCAAAAATATGGAAATCACCTTCAGCCCGTCCATCTTTTCCTCAAAAAAGATGGCTGCCAGAATCGGGACAACAGGTAAACTAACGGTACCAATGACATTGGCAAAGAGAGACGAGACCTCAAAAATTAACCCGACAGCTCCAATAGAACAAACTTGCCAAGCTAATGTAGTCAAAACCAGAACAATAACATATGATTCCTTTCCCAGTTCAAAAATTTCCATCTCAGTCCTCAAATTATTCCATTCACCTCGAATAAAGAGAGCTAGTAAGAGTACAAAAGTGGCTACCAGTGATTGGTAGATTATCATATTCAACACCACATTAAAGGTTTCTCTTTTTAGTATCTTATGGAAGGATAGTTGTGTTAGTGATAGCATCAAGGAATATAAGGCTGATGCAATAAGAGTGAACGAGAATCCTATTAATTGTTTCCTTTTTGAACCCTTTTCATGATTTGTAGAGTCACCGCCGAGTACAAGGAGAGCTGCTGATATAGTAAGAAGCACCACAGAATTGAGTATTAGAGGTGTCAACTTTTGTGCATTGAGAAAGAAAGAGAATAAAGCATTGAAGGCCAACTGAGTCGTGCTAATGAGCGAAAATATGGAGACAGGAAGGTTTAACAGCCCAACTGCATACATCACGCTTGCTGCTGATTGAAGTATTCCAAGAAATATGTAGACTGTTGTTAATTTCAGAGCAGAAGGTTGATTTGCTAGATTCTCGTTGTCAGAGAGATCGTATTTTGGGGAGAAGTATAAAGCAAACGGGATGAGAATCGGGAATCCAATAGTTTCTTGAAGGGATTCTAGCAGTATACAATTTCCACCTTTACTATAGTACATTCTTCCCAGGAGAGTGGCACTGGACTGGCCAAGAAGGACAAAGAGTGTATATATGACAATGCGAGTCCAATGTGTTTTGGTGTTCGATTGAGGGATGAGATACCGATCGGCTATATTTGACAGATTCGACGGGTTACTTTCCTCATCTTCTTGAACTGTTATTAATAAATGAGCAGAAATTGTTAGTTCAAAAATATCTTGCACAATACTTACAAGTTTGCAGGATTCGAGTGTCAAACGGTCAGAACTGCAGGTGTGCATAAATAGAATTTCATTAGTATAAACCAACTTAACTTACCCAAAGATCTGAATTCTGACTCGTCGGTTTCTCTCATCTTGACAGCATGAATACCGTAACAACTCGACAAGGCCGAATAGTAGACAGCCGTTCTCAAGGTTATCAAATCACGATTTTCTGTAGCTTCATACAATTTTGAATCATGTGTCCCATCTTTATGTCAGCCTCAAACGTTTGAACTTATAGCTGATTTACTTTTCACAGCACAAGTTGCATGACCATTTCTTTTTTGTTAAGATGGTTTGGGTAATAATTTACGCACGCAATTAGATTGCAATTAGCTTTAAATGAGTAGAAACAATCGACGGCATTACATTAGTAGTTATTAGTAGTTGTATCATTCAAGTAACCCTTTAAAATCTCGTCATGGTCTTTGAGCAGGGTCAGCTAAGCTTGAAAAGTTAATTTTATAAGTAAGTTTTAAATTAAGTATCAACAACGAAAACAATCTTGATCCCTAGATATCTGGAGGAGCTTCTTTGTATGATACTCAGAAATCAAGAATCAAGATACAAACCAATTATCAACAAGGAACTTGTGATCACAGAAACAGCCGTGAGTCAACTTAGGACAATGCCATCCCAAAGAAGCTAAAGAGAAAAGTTAGTATGATGGCCAAGCACACCCAAAAAAAAAAAATTATGTGGGATTAATTTGCAATTGGAAGATACATAGAACACGCCCTTTCGAGTTGAGGGAATCTGTCAAAATTTTAGGGAAGTATTGGATCGAACAAGTTCATAGCACGTTCACTATGAAAATAAATGGATTTGATACAGCACAATATTGTTACCTAACAAATAAGTAAGGTAAAAAGAGACTTGTTAGGGTCCTATATTCATTGCGTAGAGGCCTTATGCTTGAACTCGACGACAGCCTGATCAAGTGTTTCTAACATCCTTGCAGATAAGCATTAGATCCTGGCTTGAATCTTTTAACACTTCACTTGCTGCATCACCTGCAATTGAATCAAGAAGCTGATTTTAATGAAAGTAAATCATTTAGACACTTAATTCGACCAAAGCAAGACGAATACTACTTAATACTCATTTGTGGTAAGAGATTGTCATTTGATTCTATATAAGATTACTTATAAACAGTAAAAACGAGCGATAAAGTTGAATGATAATTTACATTTATCCAAGACACATATTTTCAGTTCTTTACTTCTCGAACATGTACATTAGTCAAAGAGAGTAAAATGGTTATTCAGAAATACTGATTAGGATGCGACATATGCATTTATCAAACACATGATCTTCGTTTCCAGCGTGTTTATTCAAAGCAAGAGGAGATTATGATTTAGAATTCTTAAAGAAGAAAAAAACATTTGATAAAAAACTGAGATTTTCACATTACGTTGAACATAAAAAGATTGGGAAACCTGACCAGTCGTCTGGACTCTTATATTCACACGAGCATCAGAAGGATGAGGAATACTGTATCCACAAAATGTGACTCGGGGGCTGTAACATAATACTATTCTAGGTTAGTGATCAATAGTTGTCTACATAATGAATTTATTGAACTAACAATAACACGAAAACACAAGCCTTTTTGCAAGAAATTTATCAACATGTGGACATTAACAAGGAAAAATATTCACTGATGCAATATTCAATGTAGACAAGAAGTTCAACAAAATTTGCATATAACCAAATGAAAAGTCATTGATTTTTCAACTCGCCATATGATGACAAGATATGACAACATCAAGTTCACCTTGATAAATTTAATTGGTTCAATCATTACCAATAAATGAAATAGGCTGAAACGTGAAATTATATAAATTATCTAAAATGAAATAGAATGAATAAAAGAGAAATATCATTTAAAACACTCATAAAATTATAGCAAACAACTAAGGGCCTGTTTGATAGCCCTTTATTTTCCATGGAAGTTGGAATTGAAATTCCGTTTCCTACTTTTGTCGTGTTTGATTGCACTTTTTTTCCCTGGAATTGGTTTTCCACCTTTTTCTAAGTACAATCATTTGATGCACAAAAACTTGATTTTGTTTTCTNACCCAATGGTAGAAAAAATTATCACTTTAATGGACAAATTCCATAAAAAATAAAGTCAAATGGACACAAAACTTTCTACATTTTCCATAGAAAATTTTACCAATCAAACACAATTAATTACAATTCCCAGTAAAACATTTTCTAGGAAAATCAATTTCCTGTAAAACATTTTCTTTCCACCCATTTTCCAACTTTGCAATCAAACGGACCCTAATTATCTTTAGTAAGAATTCCGCAGCGCAACATTCAGGCTTCCCAGAGATAGACAAGAAGGACAATAGGCAGAAAATAACACTGAATAAGTCACCATTGACTTCCAAATTTTTTAATTAACAAAAACTGCACTCTGAAAGTGGTGATTCAAATCATGACAATGTAATATTAGATGAAGTTCAAAAACTTCATTAATGAAGTGAATCAAGTGATTAACAAATCAGCCTTCAACGACTAGGATAACATATAGGAACAAATGTACACAGGCAAAATTTAGAATTTTCTAGTTTCATATTAAACAACAAAAAATAATTGAAGTAGAACTTACTCTTGGTTAAGAGTGAATCTGAGAGAATTTGCTAGTGTATGATCCTCTTCTGTCAATGAAAATGTTGCTTGTGATTGATCTTGATACAACCGGTGCTCCATCAACTCTAAAAAATAATAGAAATTCACAATTTAAATTTCAAAATCATCATAAAACATGAATGGTGTAGCAAGGCTTAATCCTCCTTAAATAAACATTTTTAAAACACGAAAATACAAAAAAAAATATGTATAGAAAACCAAAAATCATCCTGAAAAATCATAATATAACAATTTATTGCAAAACAAAGATAAATAAGCTTAATTTAAATTAACAAAATATTAACTCAATAGCTTGTCAAAACAGTAATCAGATAAAAAGATTAATAATCCACAATCAAAACTAGATAAAAACCTAGAAGTATGAAACAAATTAAGAACAAATAAATAGGTACTAATGGAATGGGCACCAAGCTGTTATGGGTCGTCAAAATCTAGGTTTGGCAATTGGCACCAAGCCGTAATGAGGAACACCATAAACAAACACATCAAAAATTCAAGAATATGAAAATTGCTGCTGCTTAAGGAAGATTACCATTAAAAAAATGGCAAATAAATAAAATCTAAAGAGATAGAAGAGGAGAATGGCGATAAGGCTGGTATCGAGTGCGAAATCAACATAAAAATCCCGTCTTTACAAAAATAAATCTGACACTACCTTCCAAGTTTGTTGATTAACAGGTTGAGTAGAAATCACTTCGATACAAGTTTGAGCAACCCTCCGCTCCCCTCCTGTTTCTCTTTCTCTAACGAGCCTGGGATATGAACGTTACACCAAATGGGCATTTAATTGGGCTTCACATGGCTTACAAGGG